AAAACATCGTCATATGCAACGGAAGCGAGCCGAAGCATTGTTGGCGGAGGGCATTTTTTGCTTGTTATTAGGCCAGACATTAGCTGTATTCTCTTATCTGCTCACCACTTATTGGCTAGAATCGTCAAAGGTCGACTGCTCGTCGCTTATTGGCCAGAATGGTCGTAAGTCGACTGCTCGTCTCTTTGGGCCAGTCACTCTTCGGCCTTCCTATTGGCGCTTGGTATTGACCAATCAGGAAGAGCATTTTGACCAAACCCCTTCTCTTCCCCTCGCATTTGCCGCTTCCCAGACCGGCGCAATGGCTCGTTCTGATGCTGGATTTACGCTCCGAGGGCCCGATCTACCGACGGCTTGACGTTCAACGTGGCGCGCGACTGAACTATGCCGTTTAGCTGTTTGCGGCGACTCGCCTCTTCTGCATCTTCTCACCGTCCGGCGGATGATACAGCCTCTCCGTGTCGTCGCCCCCCCTCGCTTCACGGCCCCCACGTCACCGGCAGACTTGTTGCCAGGCTGCTCCGGTTCCCATTTTGCTACCTCGCGCCTCCACTCGACCGGTCGACTTGTCGTCTAGTCCCTTTTCCATTCGGCCCCTCGACGACATCTGCCCTCGCTCGCGTCGCCAAACAGCGGCTCGTCATCGACAAGTTGGCCTCTTTCCGCGCGCTCAACCCGCAAGAGTTGCGCCTTCGCCTATTCGTCGACTTTTCATCCGAATTGCCCACTTTTTCCGTTCCGGCCTCTTTGTCTGCTTTTTCAGACTTGTCGATTTCATCCACTTTCTCCACCTCGCCCACTCTATCCACTTTGCCTGCATCTATCACATCCATCCTGTTCAGTTTGTCAACTTTGTCCACATCTTGCACTCTTTCCATCTAATCCACTTTTCCACCTCGCTCGTTTTGTCCATTTTCTTTCACTTTTCTTCATTTTTATCCACCTCATCCACTTGGTCCACTTTGCTAAATCCGTCTCTTTTGTTGGTCTCTTCAAAAGTTGGCACCTCGTTTAGCTCACTCTTTTTGTCCTCTTTTCGTACTTTGTCCATTTTGCCCACATCCTCCATCTGGTCCACTTTGTCGACATCTACTCATTCCATCTAATCCACTTTTCCATCTCGCCCACTCTATCCACTTTGCCTGGATCTACCACATCCATCCTGTTCACTTAGTCCACCTTTTCCACCTTGTCCACTTTGTAGACATCTTCTACTCTTTCCATCTAATCCACTTTTCCACCTCGTTCGTTTTGTCCATTTTCTTTCACTTTTCTTCATTTTTATCCACCTCGTCCACTTGGTCCACTTTGCCAAATCCGTTTCTTTGGTTGGTCTCTTCAACGGTTGGCACCTCGTCCAGCTCGCTCTCTTTATCCTCTTTTCTTACTTTGTCCATTTTTCCTGCATCCTCCACCTGGTCCAATTTGTCGGCATTTACTTTTCCCATCTAATCCATTTTTCCACCTCGTCCACTCTATCCACTTTTCCTGGATCTACCACATCCATCCTGCTCAATTCGTCCACCTTGTCCACCTCATCAACTTTGTAGGCATCCTCAACTCTTTCCATCTAATCTACTTTTCCACCTCGTTCGTTCCCTTCATTTATTTCACTTTGTTTATTTTTATCCACCTCGTCCACTTGGTCCACTTTGCTAAATCCGTCTCTTTTGTCGGCCTCTTCAACAGTTGGCACCTCGTCCAGCTCGCTCTGTTTGTCCTCTTTTTTTCTACTCTCGCCATTTTGCCCACATCCTCCACCTGGTCCACTTTGTCCACCTCTTCCACTCTTTCCATTCCATCCATCTCGTCCACACCGTCAGCTTGTAAGCACTGACCTCTCGGACGCGGTGTCCGGCCATCTCGACATCGGCATGTTTCCCACCACCTTCTGGCCGTCACGCCATCACCATCAGCCCCAGCCCCAGCACCAGCACCACCAGCATCATCATCAGCATCAGCATCAGCATCAGCAACACCATCCGCACCAGCAACATCAGCATCATCAGCATCAACAGTACCAACAACGCCATCAGCACCAGCTTCTGTCGGGACGTCTCGGCGGCTCTGCCGACACCGACTTGATTGTCTCGGTTTACTCTCGTTTCCGTACCACCTTCTGGTTGGATCGTCTCCTCGTCTGGCTCGGCGTCCTCCTCCCCGCCGCAGTCGGTCTGCTCCTCTTTCTGCTGCACACCCTCCTCGGCCTGGCCCACTGCCTGCCCACCCCCGGCGTCGCCAACGGCCTGACGACCGGACAGACGACACACTCCGCCCTCGGCCGGTCGTTGAGTCGCGGCGAAAGTCAATTCGTCGACCACTCCTGCAGTCTCCAGTTGACCTCCAGCGTGCTCCAGGGCGTCTCACAAACGGCTCACCTGACCCACCTTCTCGTCGACCAGTCGCCGTCGCCGTCGCCGTTGGTCTCGTCTAGGCCTGCCTCAACCGGTACCGCCAGTCTCCAGCACGAGTGTTATCCATTTCTGCTGTTGCTGGCCGCTCTGCTCATGTGGATGCCGCACTACATTTGGTCGCGATGCGTCGACGCTCCGTCGCGACGTGATCTCTGTCTGGTGCACGGCGAGCTGCGTGGCTTTCGTGAGGCCGTCTCCAACGAGTTGGCCGGCCTCGACTACCAACCGTTCGGCTATCCGGTCTCGGTACCAACGCACCTCGTCTCTGCCGCCTATCCACAGGCCGCGTCGACGACGCCACTCCCTTTTGTGGCACTCGGTTCGCCGGTCAACCCACACGGCGCCAACGGACTCAACCTCGGCCTCGGATTGGCCGCTCCGCCG